CGCTGGTCGCTGCCAGCTGGCGAAGGGGGCACGGCGGCCACCCACATCGACTGGGTCCAGCAGGCCGAGGACTACGTCTACCACGACGTCACGGGCCAGGAGGCGCAGCAGTTCATCGCTCCGTGGACCGAGGAGGGCCTGTGCTGGGCCAAGCGCCGTCTTCGCGAGCTTCGCGATTGGCTACGACGGGCTCCCAAGCGTCGTGCGTGCCCTCCGTGGTCGGTCCCGCTGGAACTATGGTGGATGCTGCTTCACCCGTACCGCCGCGTGTCCAGGCGTTACCACGGAGTTGGCTACGAGACACCGCAGATCGATCAGGAGCACACGTGGCGTTTCCTGGTGATCTTCCTCCACAGGCTCCGACGTTCTGGCCAGGTCCCGCTCGTGTGGCACTTGAGCCAAGGAGTGGCGCTCACCTGGAAGAGAGTCATTCACCTCCTCGACCCTTTCGGCAAGGGCTTCATGGCCACGGCGATGGACCCACACGAGCTTCAGGACGAACCCCTTTTCGCTCATGGCTGTATACCTCATCGGCGCAGAGAGACGGCCATCCTGGGCCAGCAGCTGTGCACATGGAAGCTGCGCTCCCTCGGCCTCAATCACGTCACCGACCTCAAGGACATCACCAACGCCTTCGCGTCCACCAACTGGGACAGCCTCGCAGACGCCAACCAGAGCATCATGAAGGACGACCATGTTTCGTTCGGCCGCCAGCGTTTCCGCTTTGCTGCCGTGATGTTCGGCGACCTCTGCGTGCGCCCCAGCGTCGGGGCTCTCATCGGCGACCCGTGGGCGGTGAAGGTCTTTGTGCGGGACATCAGCACCGTCTTTGCGAAGGTGCAGGAACAGTTTGCAGAGTTTGGCTCCGAGACGGCTACCTGGTGCCAGCTCACGCTCAATTTTGACGGTGAGGAGATTCTTCTGGACTTGGCTTTTCACTCATACGTAGATGACGCCATTCGGAAGATCGTGGTGCCGCCCGACCAGGCCACGGCCGCGGAGCTCGCGCGGTGGTCCCGAGCATACGACTTGCTTCTTTCTGCTGAGCTTCGACGCCACGGCTACGCGCTCAACCCAGCCAAGAACGTCAGCCTCTTGTCCTTCGTGGGCACGGGGCTACATGCGCGGCGGCGTGAAGTGGCGGAAAAAAAAGGTTCTTCTTGCAGGGGCCCCAGCAGACTCGACCCGACATCTTGGAGGCCAGGTCATGGGTAACTGTTCATTTCGGGCCGAGCTATCGGCCCGCCTGGCGGCCATCTCGGCGGGTTTCTTCTCCATGGGAAAGTATTGGTACGCTCGGAGGATCGCCTACACCGAGCGACGCGCTGTGTTCCTGGCCAGGGTCGTGGGCCCTGCGTGCTCCGCCTGCGAGGCCTTCCTGCCGTCCCCCAACCAGATTGACCAGCTCACGGCGCGGGTCGTATTCTTCGGGCGCAAAGCTATGAGGGGTGCCGCGACGTCTTGGGAGGGGGGCCACGCTCGTTCGGTCCCTTCCGAGGCGGTCTTGAGGTATTGGCGGGTCCCTCCTCTCGAGATCGAGTTCCGTGTCAGACGTCTGCGGTGGTACCAGCAATGGGCTCGAGAGCCCGCACGACATCTAGGCGAGTGGGCCCCTCTCTTCGGGGACATGAACATCGAGAAAATGCGAGGCCTCCGAACCCTCACACCCGAGGGCCATCTCACGGAGACGGCGAACCCCTGGGCCATCCAGTACGTCAGGGACTTCGAGGCGCTTCGGAGGACGTCTGTGGACACTGAGGAGGATATGCGTTCCTGGTCAGGAGCCCCTTTGGAGTTTCTCGAGGAGGGGGACTTGCGGGACTGGTTCACGGAGTTGGACCTCTCGGTCGTCAGGGCCGCGTGGCTCTCGGTCAGCATCCCTCCTGCAGGTACGTCTGGTCCCCATCAAGAGGCACCACCTGAGATCCCCGCAGGACAAGGTGAGGGCTTTCGCTGCTCCATCGGGAACTGCGCCAAATGGTTCCTTACGAAACGTCAGTGGCTGGTTCACGTTCGGGCCGCTCATGGTTACAAAACCCTGTTGGCTGAGGCTGTCCAGGGCGCTTCGTGCTTCGTGTGTGGCAGCAGGTTTCAGTCTCGCAACCCGGCTTACAACCACGTGCTGGACTCGTTCGCTTCGGGCTTCTGCAAGGTTCAGCTCAGTACCACTCTCGAGCTCGTCCCGCCGACAGGCCCTTTCCGTTGCCGACTATGTGAGGCCCAAGTTCTTTCCGAGCCTGCTCTCCACCTCCATGCGCGCATCCATTTCGAGGACCTCCCGCTCGTGCTTGGAGGCGATGGATCTCGACGAGCCCAGCTGGGCGGTCGGGAAACGCAAGGGCCAGGGGACCAGCGACTCCAAGGGTGTCAAGCAGGCCCGATTGCTCGCGGAGCTCGGACAAGAGGCGCAGGCCAACCAGAAGAACGGCAAGGGAGGAGCGCTCGCGGCGCTCCTGGTTGTCCTCACGAGGCTCGCCCTCACCAACGCGCGCGAGCTGGCCGAGGTGACTGGCGCCTGCTACACCTCGTACATGGTCGGGGCAGAGGTTCCGTTCGTCAAGGTGCTGCAGGAGACGGGCAAAACGCACGCCGAGAACTGCAAGGCCGACGGCAAGGACCACCAGCACGGCCCTCCCTGGCCGCATGTGTTCAAGGCGTTCATCAAGTGGGCATGCAGCACGGAGGGGGCCAGCACGACGCCAGCGGCAGCGCAGACGGTGTTCCAGGACTACTGGCGGAAGGTCATCCTAGCTCCGTCGGCGCTCGAGACGCTGGCGATTCACTGCCGCCACTTTCGACTCAAGGCCTGCTGGTACGACAAGAAGAAGCTCACCAAGCCCGACAGGTTCAAGCTCCAGATCATGCTCGGCATCCCGCAACAGGCGAACCCCTGGGGCGACGGCGCAGCTTCATTGATGGAGGCGGTCCAGCAGACGGTCATGGCGGCAGGCACAGACAAGAAGGACCAGACCGTGCGCTTTCTCCCAGGGGCGCCGCCGAGAGGCGGCCTGGAGCGCGAGGCCTCCAAGCTGCTGGCGCAGCTCGGGATGAAGGACAAACCAGCGGCGGCGCCCGAGGACAGGGACAAGGACGACGACGAGCTCTGAGTCGACCTGCCCGTTTCAGGCTGCAATCCGTCAATGGCTCGCGCCGTACCGCTGAGCTGTACCTCCAGGGCCGCCTCCTGACGGGACTCTCCTCGCCCTCCAGGCTCGGACCCTCTCCCCGATCCTCGAGTACTCGGATGGGGCCCTGGAGGTTAGACTTTTCTTTAGGACCCCCCCCATTCAGGCCTCCATCGGCGCAGAGACGCTCCAGAGGCTTTCGGAGGCCTCCCGCCAGCTTCGGCTGGCGGCGAGTTCCTTGGGCGAGGGTCGTCTCTCGGGTTCCCTGCGGACCTCGGACGTTTGGGCCGTGCCGCGCCGCGTCGAGGAGGGCTGAAAGGGGTTGTGCTGGGGTCGGTTTAATGCGTCGCCGTCCCTCGGCCCTGTTCAGTGGAGGGAGTGCATAGGCGAGCCCCCTAGGTGTTCCCGATTTGGGGGTCTCGTTCGTATGCCAGTGGAATCCCCCTGCAGGGCCCCGCAGAATCTCGGGCCCCTTAAGTGGTTCTCGGACGCCCGATCCGTTTTTTGTTTTCCTTGTGGCCCTGCAGGGTGCGGTTGTCTCAAGGCGATTGACTCCATCGGATCATCGGCGCTGCTGCTGCTGCTGCTGCTCCTCCTCCTCCTCCTCCTCTTCCTCCTCCTCCTCCTCCTCCTCCTCCTCCTCCTCCTCTCCTCCTTCCCCCTCCTCCTCCTCCTCCTCCTCCTCCTCCTCCTCCTCCTCCTCCTCCCCTCCTCCCCTCCTCCTCCTCTCCTCCTCCTCCTCCTCCTCCTCCACCTCCCCGTCCTCCTCCTCCTCCTCCTCCTCCTCCTCCTCCTCCTCCCCCCTCCTCCTCCTCCCTCCTCCTCCTCCTCCTCCTCCTCCCCCTCCTCCTCCTCCCCCTCCTCCTCCTCCACCTCCTCCTCCTACCTCCCTCATCCCCCGTCCCCCCGAGTGCTCCCGTCGTCCCGCGCGCACATGCTTCCCGCAGCGGGCACGTCAGGGCTCTTGCCCGCCTCCCGCCGCCGTGCGGAACCGCGCTGGGCTCCCCCCGATCTTGACGAACCCTGCGGTTTCTACCGTGGGGTATTTGGAGGAGAAGGAGGCGGATGAGGAGGAGGAGGAGGAGGAGAAGGAGGAGGAGGAGGAGAGGGAGGAGGAGGAATAGGAGGAGGGGGAGGAGGAGGGGGAGAAGGAATAGGAGGAGGAGGGAGGAGGAGGAGGAGGGAGGAGGGGAGGAGGAGAGGAGGAGGAGGGAGGAGGAGGAGAGGTCAGACGACGAAGGGGTGGGACAGCCTGGGCCTCCCAGACGGAGTTCGCGCAGAAGGGGTCCAGAGGATCGCGCCGCATCGCCGATGCACCGGCGATCCGGCGCGATGTGGAGCCCGATTTTCTCAACTCCGGCGTTGCCGACGTTCCGCCGACGTCGGCGATGCATCGGCGATGCGGCGCGATCCTCCAACCCCATTCACCTGCATCCCATCCAGGACGCATTTAGTATGAGGAGGCTCGGGTCGGACGGCGGGGGGTGAGCGGGGGGGGGCACGACAACGGCTGCGCGCACTGGATTCGGCCCGGCCTCGCCGCCGGGCACCGTCCGCGATGCATGAGCGCCCCCGGCGCCAGGAGGCGCCAGGAAAGCCAGCTGCGTCGGCTGATTCGCGGATCCCCCTTCACTCGAAGAAGAAAAACGCGATAGACATAAACGTTTGGCGCTCCGCGCGGAATTCTTGGATCCGCGCTGGGCCTGCCCGGCGGCGATTCCAGCGCCGCCCCTGGAGCGCTCCGCGCGCGAGGGGGCCCAGCGCAGATCCAAGAAATCCGCGCGGAGCGCCAACTTTTATGCGTATGGCGTTGTTTTGTTTTTGTTAGCCCCCTGTCGAGCGGAGCGACCCTGGCTGGACGGCCACCCATCCAAGGCCTCACCTACGGCCTCATCAACTTCGTGGTGTGCGTCCCGACGCTCCCCGAGGGGGCGGAAGCCGTACTCCCTTCTCGTCGTCGTTCTTCTCCCCCCTCTCCCACCCTGGGCCTCTTCGTGCCCACCCCTCGGGGAACACACAATGACATGAGCAGAAAGACTTGGAGATCCGCGCGGATTTCTCGGATTGGCGCTGGACCCCCCCCCCTGGCGCCCGGAGCGCACCAGGGGCGTCGCCGCAGGCGCCGCCAGGGGGCCCCAGCGCCGATCCGAGGAATCCGCGAGCATCTCCGAGTTCTGATGTGTATATCATTGTTCGTTCCACACCCCCCATCCTGTTCGGATGCATCTCCTGGGAGGTCAAATTCTTTGCCCTGGTCCGAAGTATGGTTTGATCTGGTTGATTCCCGCTCAAACCCGCTCAATCCAGTTCAATCTGGCTTCATCCGCGGCCGAATCCGGCGTAGCAGCCCCCCCTGGCGGCTGAATCGCTTGCACTCCTTCCGAACAGGACATCCCAGCACTTCCCCTCCCGACTACTGCTGCTCCCCGCCGCCCCTCCTTCAGAATCGCGCCGGGGCGAGGGCTCGAAGCGCATGCAGGCTGGCCTGGCCGCCCTGCAAGCGGCGCGCGGAGTGCGGGCCCACCACCGTCGGGCTCAGCCGAGCACCCCAGCGAGCTGGTGAGGGCCACGAGAGGGACGGTGCCAATCACAGCTGCAGGATGAGCGCGAGCATGGGCGCCTCCTTCCATGGAGAAGAACAGAACCCGGGCCCCTGATGACACGGTGAAGACGTGGTCTATAATTTGGGCCCTGTTTTTGCATGCGGAATCATCAAACTGGGTGGTTTGGTTTGATCTACTGTTTTTTGGTGGGTTTTCAAAGTTTTTGAGTATCCCCAATGTTTTGGGCCTCTTAGCTTAGGTCCGCTGCCAATGGGTCGGGGGTCCTTCATTTACGAATTACTTCCCACCAATTCCTCCTTCAGGCAACCCATGGGGGGCCTCTCATCCCATATTGCTGGCTCTTGCGAATCGGCGCTAATCCGTGCTAGTGCTAATCGAGGCAACATCGACGCTGACATAGCGCTTTCTCATCGACGACCGGACGCTAGCGCACGCAAGTGCACTCTAAGGGTGAGGTGCGAGGACATACAAGGTTCCCACGAGTTGCTGCCGAAGCCGACGAGGGCTCAGCCAACCTTTGGGGCCCCCCCACAACCCCAATAGCGCCGATCGCAAGCCACGCCCCAGCGTAACCACACCCATGCGTAGTCGCCGTGAGGTAGCCGAGAGACAAAAGGAACAACACCTAGACTGAAAAAAACATGCCGTCGGAGAGCTGGGTCCGCGGGCCGCCTCGGCAGCCCGCCCCGCGGCACCGCCCCCGCCCCCGCGCCGACCCGACGGCCCGCCCGCCCCGCCGAGACCAGAAACCCATGCGTGCAACTGGCCCCGATGGGCCGGCACGGTGGGTGGGTTCGGTTTTTCGTATCGGGGCTCAAGAGACGGGGGTCCATGCAGGCGGGGGTCAGTCAGAGCGCTGGGTATCGCAGGATCCTGCAGAGCCAGGGGTGCACTGACCCAGGCTTGGGTGCAGGATCCTGCTGGATCTTGCTGGACCCTGCAGAGCCTGCAGGAGATCCCCGATTGTTTTGCCCCCCCTTCGGTACACTGCATCTTTCCGCTCCGCCTCCGGTCACACCGTCGACGACGCTCTTTCGATGCCGCATCAACGGCAGTTTGACCCGAAGGGCCCCGGGACGAAACGTGTAGCCTCTCCTATTCGCAACAACTACACGCGTCCCGCGGCCAGGGTCGCGGCCCGCCACCCGCCGCCTGCTGGTGCGGCCGCCCCGCCGGCGGCGGCTCGCCGCCGCGCAGTGCTGCTCGCATAGGCGCCCCGAGCCGGCGCCGACGCAGAGCCGATCGCCCGTAAGCTGCCGCGGCGGAGGCCTTGGGCGTTGCTGGATGAGGGGGTAGGCGGCGAAGAAACGTACTCCTTTCGGGCCCCTCATGGGCCTCAGAGGTCGCCTTCAGGGCTCCTGAGGTAGACGAAGGGTGCAGATTTCTTCACCCGCCCATGTGCCGTTCCGATACGCCCAGCGCTCAACCCACAGCGTGTTGACACGGAGCTCAACATTTCGATTGAAGGCGTGGGTCTGGCGCGACGCGTTGTCCCAAACGTGGACCAACACATGCGTGAGGACGGAGACGTGTTGAACACGATGCATTGATGGGCCTGCTTTCCACCACCACCACCACCATCAGTTGGAGGGGGGAAGGAGATGGAGGACGAGGAGGAGGAGGACGAAGAGGAGGAGGAGGAGGAGGAGGAGGAGGAGGAGGAGGAGGAGGAGGCCCTCCCCCCCAACTTATGGTGGTGGTGGTGGTGGGAAACAGGCTCATCATGCATGTTGCGTCTTAGCACATGCGCATCAGGGCAGCTAAGGGCCGCGGCGGAATCCGCGCCCGCAGCGCGCCGCCCGAGCGCGGCCCTGCGCGCCCGGCGGCGGGGCCCCGCGCTTCCTCTCTCGGCGGGGTTGCCCGCCGCGGCTCTCTCCCTCTCTCTCTCTCTCCCTCTCCCTCTCTCTCACTCTCTCCCTCTCTCTCACTCTGGCCGCGCGCGCACGCCCCAGCGGGGAGCGCAGGGGAAGCGCGCCCTTCGACCAGGAACCATAACGAAACCACCCCACCTACGGTTAAGTCGGGCACGTCCCTCTACAGGAGGAACATTCAGAAATTGTCAAATAATAGTCTGGGGACGATTTGTTTGTATGTTTCGCTATTTGGGAGTCGTGTTTGAATTTGTTTGTAATCTGTCGCTCAAAATCCGCCTGCAGGGGGACATGCCCGAACTAAACCTGCGGCCCTCCATGTTGCGCTGCGGCCCATCGGGCGCCGTATCGTAGTTACCACCAAGTAGCCCACGCCAGATGTCCTAGCATACGCTGAGCCCCGTGGGGCCGTAGGTGGGGTGTCGTTGGTCTTCTGGTCCACGCCCTGCTCGGAGCTGGGGCCCCAGAGCTGAGCTCTGGCACGATTTCAGTGGCAGCGGCAGGCGGCGCGCGGTCACTCGAGAACGCGCGGGCGCTCCGTGATGCGTCTCCGCGGTCCAGCCTGAAGAAAGCAACGTGTTGGAACTTCCACCGTTTCGAAATCGTTGCGGCTCGAGGGGGGGGGCTCTGCTCGGCAGGAGCTCGGGCTCGCGCTGGCTGGAGCTGGCCCTCGCGCCTCGCGCTCGAGCCGCTGGGGCTCTCGGCTCGGGCTCTCGGCTCGGGCTCGGGGCGGAGGAGGGCAGAGCAGCAGGAGCGGAGGCAGGGCTCGCCACGGGCGCCGCAGCCTCGCTCGCGCCAGAGCCAGGGCAGCGGGAGCGAGAGCAGGATCAGGGGCAGCGACAGGGGGGGTATGGGCATATTGCGGCGGCGAGCGAGAGGAGGAAGTGAGAAGGAGAATGCCTTCTCAGAAGGCGGCGGGGCTCTTCACTCGTCCTCGCGCCGTCTGAGAGGTTTTTGTGTCTTCGGGGAGGGCTCAGAAAACCTCTGAAAAGGCTGGGGGACTTCTGAGCCTTCTGAGAAGGCCCGCCCCTTCTCATTTCCCTCCCGGGCTCGCTGCCAAATAAAAGGGGACGCATCGACCCCAAATCGCCCATTGATCGCCGACAGGGGCCCGATAGCCCCAACTTGCCCAGGAACGTGCGGATACACTGTCGGGGGCCTGTCGCCGATCTCTCGGCGCTGCATTGCCGACTCCATGTCGATGTGCCCCCCATTTGCCAGTGCCCCCCTTATTACTGCCCCTCACAGGAAGGGGATGACGAAGCCAGGACCAAGACAGAATCGGACGGGGCCGAAACGGGTATCTCTAAGATCCGGCGGGCGCCGCGGCTGCTCCAGAACGCTCTCTGAGAGTTTTCTGGAACGCTGAGAATGACGAACGAACAGCACACGCCCATTCCCAGGTGGGGGAGGGTTGTCAAACCGAGGTCCCCGCTCGAACGGGACCCTCCGCGGGGGTCCGACAACCCGCACCCATACCCATAGCCATAGCCAGCCCTCGTACCTTCAAACCCTCTATGGGTACGTTTTTTCCTTTGCCTCCACATGGGTGTGACGCCGGCGGAAGGGGGGGGTCGAAATTGGAGCGCGCTTTCTGGTTCGATCTGACCTTTCTTTTTCTCGGTGGGCGTTTCGCGCGCGCGCGATTTTTTCCCAACAGGCTTTGCCCCTGTGACACTTTGAACATGTCTCGGATGCCTTTGGGTTGGCTTCGCGCATGGGTGAAGTGGTTGGGGTCGGAGCGCGTGCTAATCGGCGCCCAATTTTGTTCGGTCGCCTTGACGCGCCATTGCGATCGCGCGCTTTCGAACGAGGCTGGCGATATCAATATGTTTGATGTTTGTACGAGGGATCGCGGCCGCGGGGGCGCGGCGGCCTGCGGCGAGAGGGGGGGGGGTGGGGATGGCCCCTTAGAAAACGTCCAGAAAACCTGCCAGGCAGGCCTTGGCATTCTAGCGCCCCCCAACGTGACGTGCACAAGGCGCGATGGCGGATTCATTCTACCCCTTTGCCTTCACTTGGGTTATAGTTTTGGGTTCCCTGGTCCATGCAATTGGGTCCTCGCCCTCTGTGTCTCCCGCCGCCCATCCTTTTGCTGCTTCTGCTTGTCTCCCCAAACCGCAGTGCCATCAAACTCTCCCAAAAACTTGCATGGGACACCGCAAATGGTCTCAAGTGTCCTCAACCAGACAACCTTTTCGTTTCAAATTATTTCAATCAACGGTTGGAACTGTGAATTGTATTTCAATTTCTTTCAACGTCTTTCAAAGTCTTTCAATGCGTAGGAACTTCGTTCAATCCGCCTCGAAGCGAGAATGCCATGCTCGGGCCCAATTCTCGTCTCGAAACCTTTTCGTTGAAACTGCCACATCGCCCCAAGGCCGTCCAGATTCCATGCCTGCCATTCCAGGTCATCGAGAAGAGGTCATCCAATGGATCTCATTAAACTCCCCCTTTTCCTCCTCACTCTCTCCTCATGTTCC